AGCCTTTGCATTATTCAAATTCTACAGCTGTTGGAGAAGCAATTTCTTCCAGTTACTTAACCAGATTGAGATTTGTCCAAAAAATCAGTATCTTGATCAGTTGACAGAGCCATTTCTGCCGTTGACTTGTTGGAAAAAGTTTTTGGCTGATTCATATGTTGACCAGCAGATTGCAGCAGCAGGGGCATGAAACAGCATTCTGGGAATCCAACCCCTTATAAGCCCACCATATCCATCTTTCTTCAAGATTGTTTTGATAACATCACTAATTGAACTACTCGAAAATCGATCGACGCCACAAACACCCTATAGAAAATCGGTTCAATATTACATGGTCGAGCACATAACATGCATTAGACGGAAAATCTAGAACTTATTAGTAGTTCTCAAAATTGTGATACGGATAGTAGGATTGTATGATCCTACAATCCTAAATAGGGAAAACTATCCAGATCATATATAGAATTGCAGTTTGATAAGATGCTACATGATTGTGTAGAATCGTACGCAATCGTGTAGAGTTGAACTAGAAGACGGCATTAGGAACGTACTAGGATCACAACAAGAAATAATACTAGTGCAAGTTTGAAAACGAATGATTTTGTGTTTCCTTCAAATGGATAACTTTATGGGATTTCAAAAGTTATAAATAGAGAACAGATTGCGAGAAATCCTACCCCTCTATCAATCCAATCAAAAATTACGATTCTGACAACCTTGTAAGTATTACGTAGGCTCGCATATTTTGTACATTAGATTGGACATGATTAATAAATAGAAATTCGCGTCTTTTGTCCGTCATGCTGTTTTATTAGTTCATCACTCGAAAGAGTAAAGAAAAGCATTTGAGGAACGTGTTGAGATTGTCTGCTCCGGTGGACTAAACTATATTAGATAGGATTAAGGAAGATAAAGAAGCGAAGTTATATGCTTTGTTACCTGGCATTGCAACTGAGTTTTAACGACGTCCAGGGGAGTCGTAACTGCAGCAGCCAATGCTCCGGAAGCGGCGCCGGCAGTTGCGTGCACCAGCAAAGTCTCGTCCACATCCCCATCACCACCACTCTCCGGCGACACCTCCATCAAAGCCCTCTTTGCCGCCTCGTAGGTAGCAAAATGAACTGCAGTAAACGGCGCATTCATCACCACTGTAGTCCTATAACTCGCGTAAAAAGCTCCGATCCCCTCTTCCACCGCGACCCTCTTCATACAATCAACAATCCCTTTATAAGGACTGCCCTTTAACTGCAGCCTTTGCTTCACCACATCCATTGGCGTTAACACGGCATCACTGGCTACAGTAGCAAAAACACCAGAAGCTGCATGTGCCATTGAATTGTTTGGATTTCCTGCTGATAGAAACTTCTTGCAAGTTTCATATATTGAGAAGTATACTGCATGAGCAGGTCCGGCACCTAATCCCATTGCAGCAATGCCTCGGTAAAGGCCCCCGAGGCCTTCGAGTTTCATGATCGAGCCGAGGGATTGCCGGAGAGTTATTGCCGGCGTTTTGTAAGAAGAAGTAATGGCTTGCATTCGAGTTTTTAGAGTGTCTACTGGAAACATGGCCATGTGTTCTACGGAGCCGGCAATGGAGCCTGCAATCATGAATTGCCAGAACTCAAGGCCATCATGGGTTGGTGGCGAGACTGCAACTTTTTCTTGATATAATTCCGATGTCTGGTGGAAGCCTGGGGTATCCGGTTTGCTAGCGGTGGCAGTGG